CCCTGCCCTGCCCTGCCCTGCCCTGCCCTGCCCTGCCCGACCCACAGGTGGTGCTGGGCCCCACGGCTCCCCAGGCTGGTCTCGGTCTGGACATGGCCTGGGGGAATACCTCTTTCTAGTCTGGCACTCACCACACTCTGCAAAATGCACAGTGCCTGAGGTCTGGATGGGTCTGTGTTCCTCAGGGTGCTGAAAACTGCCTCCTGGGCACAGTACTCCAAAGTTCATCTTGGGTTTTCTGCTTCAGACAGGCAAGAGATGGGGAAATGGAGACCATCTCAGTACTCTGCCTTAGCCCAAAAGGAAACACAGTGCTTCTCTATGGGCCTGCAAGATGCTTTCAGAGGGGTTCCAGCACAATGTAATGGGGTATGAAATTACATGTGCTCAGATCCAGAAACATGTTTGTGGATGGCAAAGGATGCCATACCCGGAAGAGAGCAGAGCTGAAATTCCCCTGAGCCTGCCTTACCAGCTGTGAGGAAGATGTGACCCTGGGCTTTTTCGGAGTCTACATCACTGGAGATAAAATCATGACAGAAACACGTTCCAAAAGAGGAACTTAGCCTGGAGGCAGCACTCAGCTCTTGTAGAGCTAGGGTAGAACAGATCAGATCCTGTGGGCAGGAAAAGCTCAGAAGTAGGCAATGAACTTTGTCTCTGGCTCAGGTCTCTCTGGCATGCTCACAGTTGTGTCTGTGCAGAGGGGACAACACTCGGGTTGAGCTAGGGTTTGGGGCAAGAGCCCCTTTGGTTCTCTGAGGGCACGATGAGAGAGGGCCCTAGTGAGGGAAGAGAGGATGAGGAGGAAGGGCAATCTCAGACATTGTGCAGGGCAGTCCAGGCAGAGATGTAAATGGGGCTCAGGCTAATTACCTCTCCACAGAGAAGCCCAGGTCCAGGGTTGAACAGTTTGCAGACCCCTTCAGACAGAATAGGAGGGCCGTGCTTTGAAGTTACCCAGAGAAGGAAGGTTATTTTGGGCTTTTGCGCATATCCTACGCAGGCGGTTTCCCTTGATGTGTCTGACATGACCAAGATAAATGTCCCTACACCTAACACAGTAGAAACCAGCTTGCTTCACTGCTATCTGGCAGCTCTGATCTCACCACCCACATATGCACACTTCATCTCAAGTCCCACCACGTTCCCTACCCATTGCTCTGGGAGAAGCACTCACATCCTCGGGCAGTTTCCACTCAATATCTGGCAATAGTAATCCACTCCTCTGGCTTCCAATGAAGACTGACTTGGTGGGGATCACAGGCCGCAAGGAAGAGGCCAGCAAGGAGAAGGATATGTGTGGCATAGAGTCACTGAACAGGCAAGACAGCCTGGACTCCATC